GGTGGAGATTTGTTGATTTATGTTGTATTCCAAGATAAGCCTCGGTTAGGTTTCCATATTTTGTTGGGATGTGAATCCTAGATTTTGGGATACAAATATTTTTTGGATATATCTAAATTGAAACAATAGATAGGGGCATAAAGATTTTGCTTTTATCTTTCTAGGCTTCTTATTTATTTGGGCAAAGCCTATTGTTTATTAGCTAAATTTATGGATAAGTCTTACTTAGATTAGGACGATGCTTTGAGTCCACATGCATAAGGCTAAGTTCATTTTTGATAAAGTTAGGAAAGTTGAGAATGGTTTGACCCACTTGTCATTGTTGTTTTGTTCTCTTTATATAAATATGTTTTTCTAGAGAGAGAAAGCATGTGTGGAAAAGGTGGGTTATACGTGGATGCACTTTTGAGTTTGTCATCTCTTATTGAGATATATTGTAGAGCAAGTGCATAGAGAAAAAATAGAGGGAAACTTTTGGGGATTTTGCGGAAAGAAAATTGTAGAGACGAAGACTTTGTGGGAGATTAAGTCTGTTCTCTCAAGTAAATTGTCTTGTAATTTTATTTCAATGATTTAGTGAAAAACATCGATCGCCTTCATCCATGAATGTAATCACAGTTGTGATGAACCACGTAATCCTGGTGTTCTTTTTCTGTTATTTATTTTCTACTTTAAATTTATTGTTTGTTTTTGTCGATTAGTGTTCTCGTACTTTATTTGCCAAAAAAATCAATTTAGAGCTTCCGCACATAACACTAAACTCTCTTATGAGTTCCAATTTCCTCCTCGTGACAACTCAAAAGTACCCATACGCCCTATGTTGTGATCCCTAGAGTCGGTGAGAAATGAATGTTTTATTTATGTGAATGTAAACTATTTATTTTTTATACGAGAAAGTCAAAATAATTCTAGCCAATATATTAGAAATCCGAATGCTAAAACTGAATCACAAAGTTCGAGAAATTTTGTATTGGGCACTTTGTACAAGACATGTCTAGCCATTTTGATTTAAAGTTTGGTGGTTAAGGGTGAGTATGAGCACCACGCGTCAACAGTAAATGGTCTTCTTATATACTTTCTCTTTTTTAATTAAAAAGCTCATGCTCGTTCCTACAATTGGTTAGCATCACCCCCATCTGTTATCCGTCAATAAGGAACAGTTGAGGTGTGTTGTGCATATGTTCAAACTTTATAGCAATTCATCAGCAACACACCCCGGCCGTACGCTATGAGCATCAGACGGTCTGCATGATGCCAGTGTATTGTAGAAAACTTAAAACGGTAGTATTGTATACGAGCCCTTGAACAACCTCATGCCCTAAACTATGTCCTTGAGAAATGAAAATTATTTAGAAAATGCAGGATCACCACTGCCCAATTATTTCATTGTTGGTTTGTGTTCCTGACCTAAAAGATGGTGGAAAATGGGTTTCCTGAAAAAGGAATCCAACCCAACATTTGGAAAGCCTGTAATTTACCTACCTATCATAAAACCCAATTCCGTGAACCTCTTTCTCTCTATACTCTACCTCTAGTAATGTCTATTGACTACAATCCAATTTTAAATGGGAAAAGTCCGTATAAGGTTGCAACCTCATATTGTTGAGGAAAAGTTCATCTAAAAAATCCTACAGTGGGGAATGTTCCCACATAGGACAGCCCTCCAACTGATCAACTCGACTTTGAGATGAATGGACATGAGGAAAAAAAAGAATTTTAAGCTCAAAAAATGGTACATCTTGTAAAAGGTTATCTAGACCATCTGTTTTTAAGATTTTCAAGTGTTTATTGATCTACTCTATCTGTATCATTTTTTAAAATTTAAATTTTTTAACCAAAGATAAAAAGAGATTTTGAAACCATCATAAGAGTTTCAATGCCGAAACGACATCTCTAAGTAAATTTTATAGATGCACCTGACTTGAACAGTATAAGGAGGCAACCTTACGTAAACCTCACCCATTTTAAATCGAAGATTGAAATTAGGATTCCTATTGCTCTTGACAGGTCATATTTGATAATACCTGTCATTTTGGAAGCTTCTAGAGAGGGGAAGGCATCTCAGTATGTTTTGGCATTTTGCACCACGACTCTTCTTGCTCCATGACCATTGTGTCATTGTCCCGGCTGTTCCATGACTTTTCGACCTTTTCAATTTCACTGTTACATGACGCATACCTACTTGTAAACAAATAAAAAAGAGAAAGGACCCTCCCCTTGCATTAATCGTTACTAGTAGTCTTGAATCGAGCATAATTATAAGGGATTGTATAGTATAAGAATATTTATTTTTTTAGTATAAAGAGATCATAATTATTTTTTATCATTAAATGTGAAATCCGATCGATAAAAGTATCTCACAATATTTAATAGATTTATTTTGAACTTTGTGCATAAACAAGAACACATCATCAACTACCTTATATCAAATCCAACGGTAAATGATGATTGTAACCTCTCCATATAAAAAATAAAATAATCTCATTGTATAAATTTCTTAATTATAGTTAGTCCAAAAGATTATATAATCTCATAGAAGTGTGCTAGTTTCAATTACTCTCCCTTGGGAAAAATCTAATGTATAAGTATTTTTAAGATCTCAAATTTTGTGATATAATCTCTAAAATCTACCAATCAATTTTAAGAAATATGTTATACACCGTATCTTTCATGGAAAAAGTGAAATTCTAATATAAGAGACCGTCCAATTTTTAATTAGATCTAAGTGTTTAATAACTCAAAATTAAGGACCTTATTGATAAAATCTTCATATCATTAGGGTTGTCAATGGACCTAATCGAGTCGTCGTTGATCCAGATCTGGCCAAGACATAGTCCATGTTAGACCAGGTATAAGGTGGGTAGAGGTGGCAATAAACGGATGGTTGTGTGTGGCCTAGTTAGCCCAACCCTTAAAAACTAAGGCTTGAGCCATAAAATATGGCTTGAGGCCTAGGCAACTCCGGCGCAAGGGTAAAGGCAACCGGGCACAAGTTCATTTGGCCTGGCCCTAAAAGGCCAAGGACTAAGGCCTCTTTAGCCAGATCAAGGTTGAGCATGGGTTGGCCTCATGGGGACTAGGACCATGCCAGTTGCTAGCCCTATAAGTGGGGTCCAAGCCAATCAGATCGGCGTATAACCTCGCAAGTTGAATAGTAAGGCTTCCGTACCCATATTTGAGTTGAGTGAACCCGATAAGTGTACTACCCATAAATATGGTAATATAAACTGGATCCCATTATCCTAAATCAAAATCAATCCTCATGTAGTACTATTCGTTTTCTTAAGGAAGGACGTATACATGTGCCTAAGAAAGGAGTTGGGGTCGTGATAGTAGTACCCTCTACACCAGAGTCACTATGTTGTGGCTTTTATTCTCACCACTAACACTAATGAACACTTAAAGGCCTATCTTCCCTATTGAAATACACAAAAGCAAAAAGGTTTTGTTACTATGCATTACTTGTGATGTGGACCCTTTAAGTCCTCAGCATTTTTTGGCACTTAGATATCCTTGATTTATAATATTAGATGCCCTTGATTTACAAATACAAAATTTTTCAATAAGAAATTAGTGGCATTCTATTGCGTGCGGTTTGTATTGAGCCGATGCTCTAAACAATCAATGTAAAATGCACCTTCAAATAGTGTTGAGAAATGTGGTTTCAATACTGGAAATTTTTGTGGTTGCCTTAAAATATATTTTCATCTTTAATTATAAATTTTAAATCTTAGAAAATAGTGTAGATCAAGCAGATCTATAACAACTTGAAAATTGCCGGTCCAAAAATGCGCTACAAGGTGCACTATTTCTAAAACTTAAAATTCATTTTTTCTTATGTCCATGCATCTTGATGTTGAGGATATTTGGGCATCAAAAGAACCTCTTCTAATGAAATTTTTGACGTAAGCTCTAATTTGATTGTTTAGAGCCTTTGCTCTATATAAACTTTTTCTCATTTTATTAGTGGTTTAAAAACAATTAGTGTTTCATATGGGTAATATCACAATGTCGGCGATATTATTTTCCAACATAGTTAATAAATGCTTATATTTATGTTAAGAATTTCTACTTTTCCTTTAATTAATAACTTAAAATAATCGTACATAATGAGATCATTTACCTTTTATATAAAGATGTTACAATTACTTACAACCATCCGATGTGAAATCTAATAGCATGGGTATGTCACAAAGTTCGAAAACACTTCTTTTGAAGTTTGAGCTTTATCAATGGAGTAAATGCGGCCATCTAATTTCACATCCAATGGTCAAGATTAATTGTGACCACCTTGTACCAAAAATGAATGGTCTCATTGTATATTTTTCCTTATTTAAAATAATACCCCCATGCAAAAAGTTATTACGTTATAAGATAAAGGTATCAAGTGTCCAAAATTACTGAGTACAATAAATATATACATCATGTATAAGAGTAACAGCCTAACAAAACCTTTAAAAAAATTACATTTTTTTTGGGTAATTCATTGGGGAAGGCAAGCCCTTACTCATTTTTTGAAATCTTTAGAAGCCTAGACTTTAGTTGGGGCACAAGTGGTGCTACTATCACAACCCCAATCCCAACCTCATTCTCTAAATAATAATAATAATCCTATGAGACCCTCCCACAATCATGTGTGTAGGACCCCAAAAGATCATTATTAAATTTGGCACAGATCTCTTATGGGTATGGGACTCGACTTTTCTAAAGATCTATATCAAATTTAATGGTGATCCTTTGAGGTCGTATACACATGTAGATATGAGAGGGTCTCGTAAGATCATTAATCTAATAATAATAATAATAACAAATAAGGTATACATTTTCCTAATAACAAGAGTACGCTAGGGGCGCTTGGTTGATTGCATTACAAGGGGTCCGTTCTGAATTTATTGGAGTCGTGCTCTCACCAGCCAACCGTCCCCAAACTTCAACATCTTTGTCTAACATTGAAAGCAAGGTGCCGCAACATTCAAAAACGAAAAAAGAAAAAAAAAAAAAAAAAAAGTAGCGGGCGGCGACGCTTTTCCTCCCTTCAATTCAACGCCGTGCATTCCTCCCCATTCAATATTTATACAAAAAACACAAACCCCAATTCTACTAAAAAAGGTTCCAAGGTTGAAGGCCTAAACCGTATGCTCAAGGCAGCAGAAGCCCAACCCAATTATCAGGAGAAGAAGAGCGTATGTATTATGGCAGAACCGGATCAGCACAGACCCCTTGCCCCGGCAACAGCTGGGCGCAGCAGCAGTGATGAAGAGGGTGCCGCCTCTCGATCGCAATCCCCTGCGAAACGCAAGCGTCGTGGCCTCTATTGTTGCGGCGCGTGCACCCTCATCCTTCTGATGCTTGTGGCGGTTGGGTTGGCCCTTGCATTCACAGTCTTCAAAGTGAAGGAACCCAAGATAAACATGGAATCCATTGCCATCACCAATCTCAACACCAACACCAACACCAACCTCCTGTTAACTGGACAGGTTGCCCTGAACATGACCGTGAGGGTCGGCATATCTGTAAAAAACCCAAACGCCGCATCGTTCAAGTTTCAGAACAGCACGACTTTGGTATCGTACAGGAACGTGACGATGGGTGAGGCCTTTCTCCCTGCGGGCAAGGCACCCGCAGGACGGACATTCAGGGCAAACGTGACCATGGTGGTGTTGGCGGATCGGCTCCTTGGCGATCAGAATCTGGTGCGCGATTTGCTTAGTGGTGTTTTGAAGGTGAGCAGTTACACTCTTGTGAAGGGAAGGGTCAATGTCTGGAACATCGTAAAGCGTCACGCCGATGTTGAGATGAGCTGCGACATTGACATCTCGATCTCAGACATGGCGGTTCGGGATCAGAACTGTAAGCACAGTGTGAAGCTCTGACCTGCCTCTGCACACCGTATATTTTTGGATATTAGGATATTGTAACACTATGTCCCAAGTTTAAATCCCACTGAACAATCCAAAAATTTATACTTGGGATTATTTTTTTTTAAAAGTTAATTTCGGACTCTAGTTTTCAATCTTGGCTTATTTTTAAGTGATTGTAGCAGCTGAGGTAGCATTGTTTGATATGTAGACAGAAATATGTATTTGTAATTTTGGTTGGTTTAAAATTTTGAGGGACTGTAGCTGCTTAGCCATCTATATTTGATTTGTAATTTTGTAGATTTCAACACTTTTTTACAACTTTTTTTTTTTTTGTAATTGTTCATGAAACCAAATCATTTTTTTAGATGTGAAAAATGTTTTGATAGGGCTACAACTCTATTAGAATAAGTGAAGCCTCACCTCAAAACTCATTCAAAATTGTAGTTCTTGCATCGAAAAATTTCATGGTAAAAGGCTCGTCACTTGGTGTGATGGTAAAAGGCTCGGTTAACCAGCGCAAAAACACAAGTTCAAGTGTTGAGAGCGGCCACTTCGTACATAAGCCAAAGGTTAGGACCATTTCAAGCCCACCCTCCCTGGACTCTACTTAGGCATGACCCGCACCAGGTTACGGCCCTTTAGTTCTGGCATTGAAAAAATTTCAATCATTTTGACCTTAACAACTATCGTTATAGAAAAAATTAGATTTCAAGCTCTAAAAATAAAATACATTGTAATACATTATCTAGATTGCTCATTTCACCTTAAAAATAAATCTTCAGGGATATGCCGGATCTGTACCATTTTTTTAACATCAAATTTCATGGTCAGTGTTCGACATTGATTTTAGAGATATTATGGAGATTTTCAATGACCAAAATACTTTTTCGTAAAGCCTAGGCTTAAAAAAGTCCATCCCTTAATTATTCCTAGACACCCTGTAGTATAGGATCATGAGGCGCATACCATGTGACTTGGGAATGTGCCACTTAGAACAAGAGAAAAGAAATGGGGCACACGTTCACTCCCCTCTTCCATAAATATATTTAGGTAGGCAACGTTCTTAAAAGAATAAGGAAAAGGACTGGGGGCCGGGATTACCATTAATATGCAGTCCCCCCCTCAAAAAAAAAGGGTGACTAAAAAAAGTGGCAAGTTAGTAGGGATTTGGGCCTACCCAATAGTGAGAATAGATTTAGATATTTCATCATCATGGCACTCAATAATACTACTGTTAAGTCCCCATGCCATTCTCTACACTTAAAAAATAAGAGCAAGCTTTTGTATACTTCCCCTAATATATAGTAGTCTCATACTTCTCCTTATCTAGCTATCAAATCTGAATGAACGGCTAAGATGGATCCAATTACAATGTTACACCTTTACACTATTTAATTTTTAATTTTTTTATAAAATTTAAAAAAATATAAAAAATATTCTCGATAAAATAAAAATATCAAAATACTCATGAAAGTTTCAGGGGTTTTGGTCATTTTATTTTATTGGAAATCCTTTTTTATATTGTTTTCAGGTGCACCCTATTGAGATGATGGTACGCACTAAATTTCATATTCATATAATTTGTAGAATAAAATACTTTGTGGCATCGAATCTATATCAAACCGTCAGTGGCTTATTTGATCTAAATTAGATGATTAGATGGCGGGAAGTATATAACTTCTATACAGTAGGGAAAGTATAGAAACTTTCTCAAAATATAAAGAGATGGTATAAGAATATACAATAGGGAAAGTATAGAAACTTTCTCAAAACATAAAGCAATGGTATAAGAATATACAACAGGGAAAGTATAGAAACTTTCTCAAAATATAAAGCGATGGTATAAGAACAAGAGAAGAAAATTGATGGCGATTATATTCATTGTTTTCTTTTTCAGTTTTTCTTCTGACCAATTGTATGTACTAGAAATTTTGCAAATGCGTGGGCCACTCTAGGTGCACCTGGAAAGAACAAAATGCCATTGAATGTTTATGTAGTATTTTATGTTGGGTTTAAGTGGCCTTTAAAGGCCTTATGAGTTATTGTAAAATGAAATAGTATAGTGGAACATGAACTCAGTGGGAGTGTGGTCCCTCGTGGACCATACTATGTAAACGATGTTTGTAGATACTGTGATGTACTTAACGATCTAGGCCAATCAGTTGGGAAAAACCTATATTACCTGGGCATAGAGAACAAACCAAGAAGGATTCTAATAGATCATCCCTTGATAAGGTTGGAGCATATGACTAGATGAGTGAGCCGAGGGACTGTGTGACCCTTGCGAGTGATGGTGGCCTACAGAGACGGGGCCAAAGCCTCATCCATGTATCATTACACGGTATGCATATTAATAGATCGTTTGGAAAAGCAAAGAAGCCACATTTAGGGTGAAGCGTATGCATGTATGAGAGAGATTACCCTTATCCACCATAAAGTTGTGGTCGTATCATGTCGAGGTGACATTGACTCGTCTCTAGGGGAGGACCTGTAATCCACAGACTGAGATTGCAACATATTGGCTCATCAGCTAGACTTTGGTGACCCACTAATGAACCGCTGCTTGGACTGTGCGTCATGAAAAATACTAGGTCTATATGATAAAGCAAGTGTGATCTATAGTCCACAGTTGAAAGTGGAGTGTCCCATGATTATTGATTCAATTCCTAAATCATATGGATCATTTTTCCATCAAATTAATTTAATTGTATTTGTTTTATGATATAAATTATTTTAGAATTATTATGTAAATTTTTACGAACCACTAGATATTTTATTTATAATTTTTGGATTTATAAAATTAAATATATTGATTTTACAATGGTTTAAATATTCAAATAATATTCTAATTTTTTTTATTAATTTTAAAAATATAAAAATATCATGGCAGCCCATTGTGCACATGGACCCAAAATATTTCTAGAAGGTGGGGCCCATGAGTGCCTCCCTTGAGTGGCACACCCCACCCTTATTCTCTTTCTTATTTTTTAGTGATATGCTATGTGGCCATATAGTTGGAATATATTGACTAAATATTGAGTTGGTATATCATTGAATGATTTTGTTGAAAAATTGAGTAGACTTATGCTATTTTATGGTATGCACAATATTTTGATTAGATTTAATTTATTTAATTTCTATTGATGGAAAAAAATTTAGGAAAAGGGGATAATTGTTCTTGCGCCTTTCATAGTGTTGATGGCCCATCTATGGATTGGGTGGCTCAAATCTCTCACCCCATAAGTCACTCAAGATCAATGGTTCATATTCAATCTCACAAGAAGAAGCAAGCAAAGGAAAACCCTAAAAAATCTTAATCTAGTTCAAAGCTTATAAAAAGATATTGTCTCTTCTAAAAAATCTCTACATCTTATCTCTTGTAATTCCATATTTCTCTCTCATATCCCACAAGGGGCACGCCCCACTCATAATTTCTCTCTCTCATGAAAGCTAAGGGGGTATGCCCCACTCTCAAGAAAGTTTCTCTCTCTCATGAAATCTAAAGGCGGTACGCCCCACTCTCTCATCTTTGATCTCTTTCTCCCACATTAGGGTTTTAGGGTTAGCAAAAAGAGAATTCATCTCTCTCAAACTACGTTGCGAAGGGAATTCACCTAGAGTTTGAGTTTGTGTTCCAAGGGGTTGATACTCTATTGGTGTGGCTTGAAATAAATTTGTTTTCTCGATTGAGATTGAAGGTTAATACTTGATTCCACACCATCAGATGGTGGTGACTTGGAGTGGGGTATAATAAGCCCGGTTGAAGTAATATCTGACACCCTCTTTTGATTCTTGTCATATTTAATTATATCGTATTTATATTCTCAATCATTAGAATTGTGGATATTTTCTTTATTTAAAGAAAATTAGTTTAATGGCATCAAGGTTTTTAAGGTCTTGAATTTGATAGTTTTATTTCCTTTGAAGCAAGAATTATTGTAATAAGACTTGTAAGTGATCTTTATAAAAAGAAAAGAAAATTGGTGAAAAGAAGAAAATAAAAAAATGTATTCCCCTACAAGATCACATTAGTCTTTCTTTCATATAAAATATTTTTTTACGCGAACCTACTTGAGAAGTGTGGATGCTCAAATTTAGAAGTTAATCAAATATCTTAGAAAATAAAATTAAAATATGAGAAAATTACGTAAATATCCATTTTAGTTTCCGTTATTACTGAATACTTTTCGTTATATCTATTTTTTTAAACTTCCTAACAATTTTTTTAAAAAAAGATGAAACTACCCATTTTGGTTTTTAAAAACCAAAAATTTGAAATTTTCGGTTATTGAATAACCGAAAATTTTCTCTCTTGTGGGTGCTCTGTGTATTCTCTTTCTACCTCTATCTCCATTACACAAGGATTTTAAACTTCCCTTACTTTTTACTGCATCACAGATACGATCTCTACTCATTTTCAGTCATTCCTGCAATTGGTAGCAGCGATCCAGATTCTTATCTGTATTTGGTTGAAAGTATTCACCGATTACCCTCGCAGGTAACCAGATATTTCAGAAACTTTGAAAGTTCGACGCTCCTTTGCTCATCACGCTCAAATTTTATGCTCTCCTCTCTCTCTCATCCCATCAAAATTATGCAATTTTCTAATCTCCCCTACTCCCTCTCTCTTTCTCTCTCTGCTCAAACCCTAAAGGATATAAAAAAGTAAGGGCACTGTCATATATATATTCAATTTAGTAATTCTTGTAATTTTTCTACAAAACCCATTACCATCCCTCTAAAATTTGATTGGTGGCCAAAGAATCACTCAGCAAGAAAAACCACCACTACAAAGGAAAACTCGCCACTACAAAGGATGAATACAGAAATAAAGAAAAAGGAATCCTAGCAAAATCTTTCTGTTTCTCGAGAAGTCTCGAATTTGAAATCAATAACTTTTGTTTTCAAAAGAAATAGCTTAGAAATCATCAAAGCATAGAAAAACCTCTTCGAAAGGAGAAGAAAAAAAAGGGGTAAGAAGTGGAGAGAGAAACCTTCAATATATGAACATTTTTTAAGAGTACAACCAAAAGTCTCGTCTTTACGTTTACAATGTGGAGTTTTAGAGAGAGACAGGTGCAATCTTATTCTTTAGGAAGAGATAGGGGGTTGAGCGACAGGGATAAATCTTCCTCTCTTTAATCCAAGAGTCCAATAATGGTCTAGAGAGAGAGATGGAAGCTATGACATTGAATCTTCCATGTTCTCATTGTCTTCGGGCCTTGATCGAAATCCGCATGTAATGTAAAGAGAGAGTGATAGAGAG